GGCCTTAAAGAAATCTCGTGATGCTATAGTCTGGATTGTTGATTTGGGAGCCTCTAACTATATGACTTGTTATCATGAGTTGTTTACCACTTACACTCCATGTGCTGGAAATGTTACAGTTAAGATTACAAATGGCTACTTAGCACCTATAGTAGAAAAAGGGAGTATTCAAATTTCTGACTCTATAGTGTTGGCATTCATACTTCATGTGCCTAAACTTGATTATAACTTACTTTCAATAAGTCAACTGACTACTTAGTCAAATTGTTATGCTAAATTCTCCCATCTCATTATGTGTTTCATGACCCATCATCTAGTGCAAAAATAAAAAATGCTAAGGAGTATGAGGGGCTCTACTATTTCAAAGTCTCCAACCGAGTGGGTAACTCCCCGATAGTCAGTAACTGTACATCTACATCTAAAGTTAATGATTTTATGTTGTGTCATAAGAAGATGGGTCATCCTAATTTTCATTGCCTTTAACGATTGTTCCCAACTCTATGTCCCAACTTGAATATTAATGACTTTCATTGTGAGGTAAGTGAACTAGACAAACACCATAGAACGTCTTTTCCCAGAACCAAATACACACCTACCAAATCTTTGACAATCATTCATAATGACTTGTGGGGACCATCCCATACACCTAATCATACTAAAACCACATGATTCATTTCCTTTATTGATGACCACACTCGTGTCAGTTGGGTTTACCTTTTACGAAATAAGTCTGAGGCTACATCCATGTTCATGACTTTCTTCAACATGATCAAAACCTAGTTTAACGCCACCATCCAAGTCTTACACATTGACAATGGCATGGAGTACTTTAACTAATCTTTGAGTACTTTTTTCCAAGTACATGGTATTGTGCATACCAGTTCCTATGCCTATATGCCTCAACAAAATAGGGTTGCCAAAAGAAAAAATTGCCATATTCTTGACGTTGCTAGGGCACTCATGTTCACCTGCAATGTGCCTAAGTTTTATTGGGGGGATGCCATTTTGACCGCAACCCAACTCATCAACCATATGCCTAGCTGGATCTCATCCTTTGAAACTCCTCTCCACAAATTGCAAAGTAATTTCTCTACATCTCATCTTGAAACTACTCGTCCACTTCGTGTGTTTGGTTGCACAGCCTTTGTCCATAGCCACCAAAGCAACAAACTTGAACCTCAAGCCACCAAATGCATATTTATTGGCCATTCTCCTACTTAGAAAGGATATGAATTTTTTTGATTCCATTACAAAACACACATTCATCATCCTTGATGTCACCTTTCATGAAGCTACTCCATTCTATCCCAATTCTTCAATTCAAGGGGAGAGAATAGGTAAATCTCAAACTTGGGAACAAGAACCTAACAGAGAACTAGCGCTTCTTGAGCCATGGTTTGAACTTTGAACCAATTGAACCATTATTGCCACCAACTCCGGAACCATTACCTTCCTCTGTACCTTCATCCACCTTTCCAACAACACCTCTTACACCACAACCTAAGGAACATAGGAAAACAAGAGGAGATGCAAAAAGACCTCAAAGAGGAGAACTACATGTTTACACTTGAAAAAGGAGATCAAAAGATAGTAAGCAACTTGTATTTGAAGCACCAAGAAAGTCGAAACCAGAGGCAGCTCCTGAGGCAAAAACTCTTGGAGACTTAGGTGATACATAACAAGTAAGTGAATCTACTGATCTTGATCTTCCTATTGCTTTAAGGAAGCAACCTTGCTCATGTACTTTCCATCCGATAGAGAGGTTTGTTTCATACAACACACCTTCTCCTCGATATCAAGCTTTTATTACTAATCTTGACAAGGTGAAGGTACTCGAGACTATACAAGAAGCTCTAAGCATCCTTAAATGGCAAAGTGCAATCATAGGCAAAATGAGGGCTCTAGGAAAGAATGTGACATGGGAGTTTGTCTAGCTACCAAAAGGAAAGAGAACAGTGAGTTGTAAGTGGGTGTTCCCCCCAAAATACTAGGCAGATGGAGCCCTTGACAAGTTGAAAGCACTCTTGGTTGCAAGGGGGTTTACCTAGACTTATGGCTTGGGCTATGAAGAAACATTTGCTCTGGTGGCAAAATTGAACACTATTAGAGTCTTATTGTCTATGCCAGCTAATCTTAAGTAGTCCCTTCACCAACTTGATATCAAAAATGCCATTTTGAATGGGGAGTTGAAAGAAGAAGTCTATATGATGCTACCTCCTGGGTTTGATAAAGGCAGGTTAAATCAAGTTTGTAAATTGAAAAAGTTTATATATGGCTTGAAACAGTCATCAAGAGCTTGGTTTGATAGGTTCTCAAGGGTCTTAAAGTATGAAGGTTACAAGCAAACCTTGTCGGATCATACAATGTTTGTTAAGGTTGAGGAAACCAAAAAATGTATCTTTATTGCCTATGTTGAAAACATAATACTCATCAAAGATCACCTTGAGGAGATAGAAAGTGTAAAGACTGCCCTTGGCAAGGAATTTAAAGTCAAAAATCTTGGGAAGCTAAAATACTTTCTTGGGATAGAAGTTGCTAAGTCAAGGAGAGGAATCTATGTTTCTTAGAGAAAATATATACTTGATCTTCTTACTGAGACAGGTATGTTGGGTTAGAGGCCTGTCAAAACTTCTATTGAGGTCAAGATACCGAAGAAGAAACCTAAGGACAAGAATGGAAAAGAGAAAGACTCCAAGGAGGTAGAAAACTTAGATGAGGAGTATAAAGAAGAAAAGGAAGAAGCTACTGACAAGGCTAGATATAGCATTCGCTATCATTGTAGCTGGTCAATAAATGAGCTGCCCAATGAAGAGTCATATGAAAGCAATCTACAGGATTTTGAGATATCTAAAAGGTACTCCTAGTAAAGGGCTGTTCTTTAGAAAACGTGAGCAAAGATCTATAGAAGTTTACATTGATGCAAGTTGGGGTGGAACTTATAAAGATAAAAGGTCAACCTCTGGCTATTGTTCACTTGTGTGGGTTAATGTAGTTACATGGAGAAGCCAGAAGAAAAGACTTGTTTCAAGAGGTAGTGCTGAATTTGAGTTGAGAGCTTTAACTCAAGGAATAATAAAGGAGTTGTGGCTTGGGCAAGTCTTGAATGAAATACAGGTTGAAGCAAGTTTATCATTGAAGCTCTACTGTGATAATAAAGCTGCTATAAGCATGGCTTTAAATCCAATACAACATGACAGGTTGAAACATGTGGAGATAGAGCGACACTTCATCAGAGAAAAGGTGGAAAAAGGAATTATATATTTAATATATTTGCCTACATAGCTGCAAGCAGCTAATGTTTTGACTAAGGGGCTGCTTAGCCCTGCATTTGAGAATTGTTCAAGCAAGTTGGACATGATTAGCATCTATGATCCAACTTGAGGGGGAGTGTGGAAATATTTGGTGTTTATTGTAAATATTGTATAGTTTTTATTAGACATTATTAGTATTTATTTTCCCTTGTGTATATATGTAGTCAACTTGTACTCAATATTGAATCAATGAGAAATACTATTTTCTCTCAAATTCCACAAAAACCATGCCAAAAGGCTGAAAACTAATGAAAAATGAATTCTAGGCTGTCAAGCATGCGGGCACATGACCCCCATGCATAGAGGATATTGGGTGTGTGGTGCCTCAGCATTCAAGGTGACAGACCTAATGGTGTGGTTTGTTTGTTGATTCCACGGCTGGTGCAATTGGGTATGGCACAAATAGAGGTGATTCATAGCTTTGCTATGAGATTTATATGACTTTTCAATGACAAAAGCAGGCAATGAACAAGAGGAACCTTGCTTTGATACCTCTCAGCATAAAACAAGGAAGAAAAGAGAGAAGGGGAAGGAGAAAGGAAGAAACAGTGAGGTAAAGGGAAAAAGGGAAGAACTGAGGGAGAAATGGAGAGATAAAGTGAGATTCATCACAAGTTTGACAATGATGAAAAATTTAGAAAGACTCATGCTTGGCATAGGATATCATAGTGAAATTTATTCTACAATTAGTAACTTTAGGTTTAGTGATTATTTTTATTTTAAAGTCAGTCTTTCTTTTACTTTATTTCAGACAAGGTTTTTCTCTTTTCCCTTTAGGCTCAAGTTATTAGGATTATTTTAAATTTTAATTATCGTATTTGGGATCTTTATATAGCCCCAAGGTTATTCTCATAGCAGAACTATTGTGTCATATTTTGCTGTCACTCTCTCCCATTCTCTCTTTCTCCCCTTATCACTCTTGTTTCATCCTCTTCCTCATTCTCACTTCCTCTTTTTTTTTTTTTTTTTCCAATGCCAAGCAGTACAGAGCAAGGTTCCCTTATTCCTTGCATGCTTTCATCATGAAAAATTAACCAAAATCTCAGCAGAATTTCCTCAAGCAAGAAAGCCTTCCAATTAATAGTGGAAGATACTATGACTTGTAGGAAAATTAATAAACTTAACACTCTTCTATGAACAAATCAAACGAGGAAAATTACGAAGCAACATGTAGAATCTCAAGATAACTTAAGATGACCCTTGGCAAAAGATTTTGTTCGAAAAGAAGATCATAGAGGTACAGAGGTATTTTTATATGCTCATATTATTTGTGGAATTAACCTATGTTTCTACCAACTCACAAGATCATTTTGTTCACCAAGGGCCTACCAAGAATCAAGTTAGTAATTGTACCGCACAATATCCAACTGGTGAGGGAGTGTCATTAGTCACATGGTTTTTGAAGATAAATCTCTTGATTTATTTTAGTTTCTAAGAAGATTAATTTCTATTGTACAGCCAACATGATCTTATTGTTTTTATTTTCCTGTTTTTGGGGATTAGATTGGCCCCTTTCTCTCTCTATATATTGTACTCTTTATGCAGTGGAAAATAAGCATCAGACTAAATGGAGCCCCTGCTCTGTTTTTCTTCAGTTGCTTCGCCTTTTGACTAATTTCATTCAATAAAATAGATTCAGAGAATTATCAAAATTCTGAATTTCTGCAAAATTATCTATCTTAAACGTACCATTTCTATATACTTCAGTTGCTTCAGAACTTGATCTGTTTCCAGCTCCTGCAGCAATTTCAATAGGAAAAACACTTATCATTTTTTGTTTTTGTTTTTTTTTTGGGTGGGGGGGAACTTAAAGATAGAGAGAAGAATTTGAAGCACAAAACAGGACTTAGCAAGATACTATCCCAAGTGACAGCAAACTACTCTAAAAAAGGAAAGCAAAGACTATATTATGTAAGGGCTCCCACAGCTGATTTAAGATTCAACATAAATGCAAACTCCACCTAGGCCTTCTATTCTTCATCATCTATAATCAAAGATGATCAAAAGGAAGAGCAAGATTCCTTCTATCTTAAAAAAAAATAATAATAAATAATAAAAAATAAAAAATAAATAAAACAAAAACAAAAGATCTGGCGAGCAATAGTTAGCCACAATTAATAACAGCATCAAACACTGACTATGATGTTACTTTTGAGACCAAAATTCATGTCTAGCATTTTAGAATTCAGGGTTGAAAGTCCTAATCCTAAAGATAAGTCCATATTCCCATTTTCAAAAACATTTAAAAGTCAAGATTAGCAAATATGACAGTCCCCTCCTTCTGTAAACACAGTATTCCCAAAAAAACTCTAAAGCAATTGAATCACCATATTGTTCGACACTTTACCTGAGGTACAGCACAATCAGCATGAGCTGGGTCCCAATGTATGGCACAGAAGCACTCCCAGTTATCAGTTTGGACTTCAAAAAGAGGGGCCCTGCGAAAACAAAACATTTTCTCCATTAGGCATTTCAAGCATAATCAACAAGAGATTTTTCGTCATGCTTTTCTCTCCTCTCCCCATTATATGAATCAACTGTATATGTACAGAGAAAACAGAAGTTCATGGCACATGATTTTTTTTTTTTTGGGGCTTCCTAAACCATCTTCTTTCTAGACAAATAGGGGTTCAATACATGTGATACAGACAAGGAGTACTTTCTTCTAACACGAATAAAAGAAATTATAACACTCTTCTACACCGAAAAAACCACAAAAATCTCAAACTGCACATGTCAACTGGAATTTGAACTGCTGTCCTTGCTAGAACTAATATGTTTTCATGGCTAAAAGAAATTTTCCCAAGTAAAACATCTCACAGTCATAACTATTAATTAAACACTCTAGTTAACACCATGCACTAATGTGCTGTGTGGCATACCTGCGCCATTTCCCACATATAGTTCCCTTGACTCGATCTACAACCTCCTGACACTGAAGCCAATTACCAATGGAGCTGAGTCTAGTTGCCCTTTTGAGATTCATTTGCTACAGAACAAAATGATAGTACATTTATTTTCAAAATCAAATGAAAATGATGACAACATAGTGAATAACTAAACAGACTGCAATTTTACATGCAGACAGGATTCTGAACAGCCAATTTCCATTGGTTCAGCACGGTCATCATCATCACTGCAAAGAAGTTGACAAGAAGATGTTTGTGACAAGAAGATAGCATAGAATATCATGAAAAAGACCTGTAACAAGTTACATGGGCTCACTGTATTGCCTGCTGCAATGCTGGGCTCCCATCCTCGTGGCTATATGAACATAAAATATAAAACTTATAGCAACTCACATTATTCATAAACCAAAAATAGTACCACTCACTTCAGACTCTGTGCAATGCATGCAAAAATGTGAATTGTTGTTTATAATAATACAAATTCCAAGTTACAGCCGACATTGATTGTGTGGTCATTTCAAGACCCAAAGTCTAGCCCCAAAGCAATCTCATATGCTAGGAGGAAAGTGGCAATGCGAAAGGGGATAGCAAGTGAAAAGGAAAGAATAAAGACTTCAATTTGGTGCCTCTCCAATATGGCATGCCAGCTATTAGATGGAAGCCAGTGTTTATCATTCAGGTTAACCCTAATGGTTATTTTGTTCATCTAAGAAAGGGTATGCACAAGCATATCACCTAGGTTATTATAAACATCATCTCTTATAGTTAAACCTATACCTATCCAATCATTTACATCTCTTTAGAGCCATGCATCACTGGCCAAGTCATTAGCTGAATGCTAAGAGTGCATTTACCTTGGTGATTCATAGGTAGAAGTTTACATGAAACAACCACAAGGTTCCTTACTCAAGGGTAGATACGTAAGGTATAATACCTTAAGAAGTCATTGGCTCACTGCATGGTTAAACCAGACCTAACAAACGTGACATGGACGGTTTAGAGAAGGAGCTCTCATATTTGGCTGCCATAAGAGAAATTTTGATCACTCTTATTTCTACTACAAGCCTAAGTTAGTTGTAATTTACTAAATGTGCATGCTAATGATATTCTTAAGAGTGGTGATACTAGCACATATCTAAAAAGTAATCCTATATTCTACAAGGCAAAGGGTCTTTGATGAGAAAATATCTTTTTGATTTTCTTCTTGATATAAAAATGCCTGAAACTAAACCCAGTGGTACACTGACGATTCTGAATCAAAAACTAATGTCATGATGGGTTTACTCTCAAAGACCCAAAAATACAGTACACTTGGGAAAATGAAACACCTTACATTAACAAATCCAATCATCACCCTTAGAAAAAGTGAAGCAACTACACTACAACAAAAATCAACACATCCAAACAAAATAAAATGTTGGGTAAAGGAAAATCCATAAAATTTTTTGATAGGAAAAAAAATAATATATATATATATATCCTTAATTCATCATGCATCTATACTAATATATATATGTCATTATTTTTGCCACCATCACAAAACATTCCCACTTTCTCTGTCAAAATGCAAAGTGATACTTATTGCAAAGATAGTATAACTTTTCCAGTTGCATAAGCTCAGTATATACACTATTGTCATAATTGATAAGAGAATCCCAATTAAAAAAGAGAGAGCATTTTCATAGGCTTGCATCAAGGAAAGGAAGAAGAATTTGGTCAACGAATATTCAGGATACAAAAGGAGCATACCTTCTTATTGGACCTGACCATTCAGGAACTTCTGCTTGAAAACCTTTACCAACCCGTACGCCACTTGTACTTGGCTCAGAGTCATTCAACATCAACAGTATAGGATTCAATCCTCCATTTTCTGAGGTAGATCTGCCTAATTCCATTTCACTGTTGATATTTGGTGAACTTTTAATAATCCTCTCTTTAAGTACTTTTTGCTTCTTTTTTATGCATGAATGACAAAACCATTCATCAATTGGTAAATTTTTCATGCGAGGAATGAGACAGGATGGATGGAATGCCTCTTCACAATGATCACATATAAGCATGTTCGATGAGCTGTCTAAATGACCACATATTTTGCATGACCGGGAACTGCAATTATCACCAGAGGTAGCAGCCTGTGCTTGAGAAGCTATAGTATCAGCATGAGAATCTCCTCCAAGGAGTCCATGGCCTCTTAGAATTTTGATGCAGAAATCCTTTGCTGCTAGGCCTTCCCAAGGGACATCTATGACTAGTACACTAGATGAGGAGCATTCACCAGTGTCATCCATTCCAGTTTCTATGGAATCTGAAACAATTTCCATATTTGATTTTGATATGGAGCAACTATCATTAATGCTGTCAATACCTAAATTTTTTGGTATACCATGATCTATTGCTGCTTCACGTAAGACAACAGGTACAACATAGTCTTTAACCATTTCAACATCTTGCACAACTTGAGAACTGACCAGCTGACCTTCTGATGATAATCTATGAGCACAGGGGTTTATGACTGAATGGCAATTGGCACTTGCTGGCATAGACATAGGTCCTAATTTTAAAAAGGGTGTAGTTGAATTCTTCCGTATCTTTTTTCTCCTGTAAACTAGATTTGGCACAGTATTTCCAGTCATTGTACTGGCAGTTGACGGTCGATCTAAGCTACTTATACAATTTGAGCTGCATGGAACATCATCATTCCTTCTATCCTCTTGCCCTTGCATTGCTCCAACTTTTCTACAGCAGTCAAGAGGGAACTTTTTGCATTTCAGGCACTCCTGCCAAGTTTCAGCACTAGGCATCCAGTCACATAAAGCATCTTCTTTTCCTTCATCAGATACATGAAATAGAGCAACTTCAATTGAACTAGGAAGAGAGCTCTGCATTAACATTATCACCTGAATCTGTTGTAGAAAACTTTGCTGTATATTGCCACAACACCAAAGTTAAAACTCCATATTAGAGCCTTTCTAATTACCAAAAGAAAGATTATTGAATTTTAGGAAGATGGTCCATCAATCTCATCAAGACACTGGTAGCATCCTGATTTGTGGATCATGATCAGAAGTAGGAACACAGATAATCAAAATGTATAAAACAAGAAGTGTATCTAAAATAACAAGTAACCAATATCTTTATCTGTCAAGAAAAATGTATAGCAATTAGAGATGTCAATGACATACAGAAGAAACCACTGCAAGCCAAAGAAAAAGCCCATGTTGGATGATGCAGTGCCACCATATTGAGGTAGAAGCCATAAACATTTCAGAGAATATTTCTCAGAAATGAAAAACTCGAGACTCATAACTAAGCAAATAAACATGCATAATAGAGCAATCAACAATTACCAAGAAAAACTTCTGTAAAGCAAATAAAATCATCATGCAGCCATCAACACATAACATTGGTCTTCAGAACAAGTGGCAACCAAATAAAAAGTATTGTTTCACAGGAATATATTGGAAAAGAAATGCCCTTAGGGAAAGTCTAATAACTAGGAGAACTACTCTCCATAACCATTAGAACATCAAATCCATCATTGCTTTCATAAGCACCACTTAAAACCCTCTTTTGCTTTAAAATCACCATGTGTCTTCAACATTCCTTGGTCTGAAGTCATCAAATTGCTGTCAACTGGGTCGTTTAAAGAGGAAGAACAGAAACAGAAATAAAGGTTCCAAAAGAAGACTAAACATATGGGGGGTGAGAGGGAAGCTCTCTCTAGCAACTTGAATAAATAGGGATTTTGGCCAGGTCTGTGAAGATATAAGGCATAATGTTTTCATCTGTGCTCTGTGTATACTCTGAAAACCAATAATTACATTAGCCAACCAAATTTTAGCCAAAATGAGGATTAAAAAACCTCACCTGCCTATCATCTTCAATATGGCATTTATCAGAATGATGACAAACACGACCATATTAACCACCACACCATGCCCCTATGATGGTTGCCATAGACAATGCTTTTTGCAATTCTTGACTGATTAAACATTTTTGACAAAAGATTACAACAATGGGGGCTGACAATCTCAATCAAACTAAATGATCAAATCCTTGAAAGCCCTAACATAATGGAGTTCAACACAACAATTTTTCCCGACAGATTAATCTCTATGCCATCATATTATTCATTGTTCACTCATCAATTGGAGGAAGCCCTTGTCTCCCTAGTCCCAGCCGTCAAATATCAAAATCTTATCTAAACCAGACCAGTAAACCCGAAACCCAATTGATACCATTGAATATTCTAATCAATCTTGCTACCAAAAAATAGGAAGATATGAAGAATATTCTATTAAACCTTTGTTCATCGAAAACAATCTTTCCCAAGCAACTACAACCCATTTTCCTCACTGAAATCTGTATGACAACAAATCTTTTTTGCAATTAAACACAACAATTTCAATCTTAGAAACACAATACAATAAGCATACATCACAGGACTATTTCTAAATCCGTGAAACATCATCTAAGAGCCGCCAATTAAATCATATTTGCAGCAAGTCAAAGAGGATTCACCGAACAAATTCTGAAATGTAGAACGAGTACACAGTATATACCATGCATATGCCTCCTATCAAATCTATATGACCAGATTGAAGTAGCCCCCGTCGGTCATTGTTGGGAACGATCTTTTTTTCCTTTGTGGGTTTGAGAAGATACTTTGAAACCTTGGGGACAGATTGTTTATAATAATCTTCGCCCCTCACAACCTAGAAAATCAAGGAATCACGGTGGTATATGGGCTCTCTCTCTCCCCCCCTCTCTCTTCCTCTCTCTCTCTCTCTCTCCCCCCTCTTCTTGGCGTTCCTCTGGTCTTGTATATGTGCTTTTCACGGCGCGTTTGTATATTTTTCACATGTAACTCTGGTCTCTGGGTTTGTGTCCTTTCACTTTTAAATTTGAAGTTCATCCATGTTCTATGTTTTCTTTTTCTCTCCCTCTCTCTTTTATGTTTCTGCTTTTGGGCCAAAAATTTTTAATGTTCTTTCATTGCAATTGGAGGCAATACAAACTCAATTTGGATTCTCGCAAGCTTTTTTCCTAATGATTAATAGTGTCATATTTTATGAATCTTCATATTTGTTGAGGATTTAAATCCAATTCAAAACACATCAAATCATCATTCCATGATTTTGTGAATTAGGTTAATGTTTTTAATGCACAAACCTTAATGGTAATTCTTAAAATGTTAGCTATTTAATTTTCTTAAAAAAATATAATCTTTCAAATATTTTTATATCCTAATAACATTATATGATTGAGTTTTTAAATGAATAAAATTCAAAAGTTATCTTCAAACCAAGAAATTTCAAAAGTCATCTTTTTAAATATATAATAATAAAATGATAATGGCTAAATATTTTGAATCAGTACATGTTATCAAGAAAATGTATATAAATCTTTTTCATAAAAAATAAATAAGTGATGTCTCTTTAATTTTATTTTAGTATGATTACATTAATTAAGAATATCCATAAAAAAAAAAACAGTTCAAAACAACAATTACATTTATTGATAACTAGTTTAGTTTACAAGTATCAAGTTATAGTTTGTTAAAGTATATTATCGTGATATTTATTGATGAATATGTCACAATTCGTTATCATAAAAGCTTATAAGAACACATTAAATGTTTTGCATATTATACCTATATTGTCTTATAGTTAACTGATCATTAGTTACTTTTGTAATGTTGATAACACGTGGAACAATTTATGCCGTCATGAAGATTATGCATGTACAAAATTTTCAACCATTGGAAGGGCTAGTGACCTTATATATTTTTTTAAGACAAAACAAGTTTCTTCTAGCTTTTTATCATAATACAAATCACGATAGTATTAAAGATATGAGTATCTCCTAACTAGTGTGGATGTATGTATATATGAGATCCTCTATAATGGCATCAAAGATATGAGTATCTCCTAACTAGTATGTGTGTATGAGATCCTCTATAATGCCAATTATAGAATTAGTAATCCTGAAAACACATATTTTGAGGTTAATTTATTATAAAGTTTTCTTATCAAAAGGCTCTATGAGGTGCTAAGAAGTAAATAAAAATTAATGGTATGATTCAACAGGCTTTGTTAATGATATGTACAAAAATTCAGATTTTGAATATCCCAGCAGTCTTAGTTACTCGGAAGAGGTACTAAAACTTTAAAAGTTTGTCGAGCAAAAGTTGTTATTTAGACTGATAGTGCTGTTATTTCTAGCTTACCCCTATCATTATAACAAGCTATATATATCTAAAATTTTGTAGATTCGTTTCCACAACTAAGTTAAACATTATTATTCTGCAAACTATATGTGGTTGAATTTGATTCCCTTGAATTTTTGGATTCATCACTGGAACATTATGACAACACTACTTTTCAATTAAACTGTGATGCTTGCAAGCCAAGAAAACTTTGATTATAAGTATAGTAACTTTCCAAAATCTAAGCTCTACTTCCTGTAGGTTCACAGTCTTGAGTCCATTTAGTGTAGGCATTCTTATTTGGTTATTATCAAATCTTCAAAACGAAATTGAGATGCTAAAGAATCAATTTGGTGGTTCAGCAAGGAGAAATCAAATAATGAATACCTTCAGATAGATCACAGAGATTTGGCAGAAGTCATTCTAGCAACATGGGAGAGTTATGTCGCATTTGCATGCCCATTTTGAAATTAAAGATGACTCAATGAGAAGCAAGAGAGGATTAGACTGGTAACAGAGATCCTTAACATGAGATATTGGAAGTATTGATATGGCCTTTCAACCAAAAAAGAGAGAACCAAATCATGCCTGGGAAAGGAAAAGAAGAGAAGAAGACAACAAAAATCTTGAAATTTCTTTTCTTATTCAACTAGTTAAGCAGCTACAATGTCAACTATGTAGTCAATGATATCATAATATTGTGCATTATAGGTGAATGATGAAAACAACAATGCTATAGTGAATCAGATTATAGGCGGCAGTGTCTTGAAACTGAACATTAATTCATGAGTTTATCAGCTGTTTATAGGCAAAGCTTTTGTCTCAAATAAGAGAATTGAGAAAATGAGAAGAGAAAATGAGAAGACTTTGGTGAGCATATCATCAACTTAATCGAAGGATGGAACATAATCCACCTACAGTTATCTGTTGATGATTTCTCTTGAAAATAGTTATTAGAGTTATCACATCATATGCTTGAGGTGGTTGTTGGATGAACACAAAGTTCTTTGTGCAGTGCAAGAGTCTATAATACTTCTTAAGTTGTACTCCCTCTAGTCCTTTTTATAAGGCTAACAGAGAGAGAGAGAAAGATTTTTTGGTTCTATTCATGAGTCATGTATTAATTTTTTATCACAAGTTTTTTCTTTTACTTGCTCATTAAATGTTGATAAGAGAAAATACGTTACTGAGGTATATATATTTAATAGGAGCAAAGTTAGAAACTTTTTAAATTTTTAGACAAAGTTAATAAATTTTAAGGTTTTCTTTATTTTGTTAAAGTATGTTGTAAGTGATATATAAATAGAACTGGAGAGAATATCAACTTAGCTACAATATTCAGCTTTCTTAGTTCTTTTTTGAAGGCCACATCTTTGAATTACCTTAAAAGAGGTAGTAGCCATCAATTATCATTAAGATTACTGCCCCAATCAGCATCAGCAAATACTTTTGGCATGAGATGAGACGCTTTATGAATAAAGATAATATAATTAAGTGTGTCATTGAGATACTTCAGCAACCATTTAACAGACCTCCAGTGAGTGCTCAAGGGCTCCTGCATAAAATGGCTCAGCTTGTTAACTACATAAGCTACGTTTGGGAGAATGTTATATATGTATATAATGAAGAGCTCCAAGCATGCTCCTATAGAGTTTAACATCATGAAGTGGTACTTCTTCATACTTAGATAGGTGAAGGTTTGTGACCATGAGAGGTGGCCATGATTTACCAGCCAACATTGAAGCTTTCTGCAACAGTTCATAAATATATCTTCTGAGACAGCAAGATTCCACCCTCGACATGACAAAGTGCAAATCCTGAAAAGAAGTTCAAGTTGCTGCTGAGATCTTTTAAACAGAAGGAATCTGTCATTTGAGAGATAGGATCTATGAATGCCGTAATGTTCTGACTAAATCATCAACATAAAGAAGTTACATGACCAAGTCATTAGCTCATTTATTGAATAACCAACAGGACTCAGCTTTAGAGGGTTCAGATTTTAAAGAGCACTAGTATCCATGGAGTTTCTCAAACTAAGACTAGGGTGTTTATTTGAGACCATAAGGAGGCTAGTCAAATTTGCAAACTAGAGGAGAGGTTGGGATTGTGGATTGTTGCTCAAAGCTACCGGGTCAGGTCATGTAGACTTCTTCTGAGATATTTGCATTGTCAGGGAATGCATTGTAAAAGTCAACTTCATGCAAGAGGCCAATTATTGATATCAAGGGAAAGTGATATTTTGAGAGTTGAATGCTTCATTACTGTCTGCACTAATCTGTTATATGCAGCCTTTAGCGATAAAATGAGCCTTAAAACTTGACCATTGAACCATCAGCTTTTCCACTCTGAAGATTCATTTATATCCAATAGACTTTTGTCCCTGTTTGTAAAGGTAGTGGATAAGTAAGGTGCTGCATAGTTCCTTGAATGGGTACAGAGGTATCCAAAACCAAAAGGCAAGTAATGGAATCTTTGTTGGTGGGGACATTTGTGTTAACCTATTTACGCATCTAAAGAAATTAATTAGGAGTTAAATTCACTTATATCTAATGAAGTTCCTGATGAATAAAATCTATACATTTGCGGCTCATATTTCTTTCCCAATTGCTTCTATTCCATGCACTGCTTCTGTTCATTACTTCTTTCTGCTATAAGTTGTTATTCAATTGGTTGATAAAAACTACATATTTTGATTATGATCTCAGTTATTTCAAGTTGTTTCCAAGTTCATATTTATGTATGTATATAGTTAAATGTATGTATATATGCAGTTCAAGTTATTTAATTGGTTGATAACTAACATTTGCTTCTTGCCAATAAGATTATTAACAAACTATAAATATCTGAAGTTTTGTAGATTCCTTTCTATAACTTGGTTGAATTAATCAGGCTGAAAAAAGGTGGGAAACTAGGTTGAGTTAACATTATAATGCAAAATATTGTTGATTTTGATCCCTTGATTATTTTGGATTCACAACAAGAACATGAAAACTAAACCACTTTACAATCAACCTTCATACTTGTTTATCAAGTAAAGCTTGATTAAAGTGCAAGAACTTCCTAAACCTAAACTTCCCTTCTTGTAGATTTACATTCTTTGAGTTTCATTTATTATATGCATACTTGGTTAGTTATTATTAAATCTTCTAAAAGATTGAAATGCTAAAGAATCAGTGTTAGCGAGGAGCTATCAGATAAGGAATAACTCAGGACAGATTGCGAAGTTAGATTTTTCCAAAAGTCATTCAAGATACAGCTTTAACAAGTGTGCACCATGTACACAAGTGTATAACATGAAGCCCGAGATTCTATGCAGAGCAGATCTACAAATTTAATTTATTTTTATAGAATTTAGATGCTACAAAAAGACAAACCAATGAAAAAGGATCCTTCTTTTAGGTTGTTAAATGTTGAAACTCTTTCACTGTCTAAATGGAGTTACCGCAAAGAAAATGCTTGCATATGCAAAGTTATAAGGCAAGTTAATATATGTGTTCAGCTTGAGAAGCAATGTCATACTTAAATCTGATATTGGTGATTAAAATAAAATTTGGACGAGAAGCACTCTTCTTACAAAATTAAACTGTACAATGTTTGATTTCCTGTGCATTGCATGGAGCCTATAGGGATAAACTGTACTTATTCATGACTTGTAAATTATACGACTTGTTAGTTTCAATCTGGCTAGCAGAACACTTGAAAAAGCTGTAGTGGCCTAAACGAGGGAAGAAGAAGCATAACTAAAGGAAATTTGTAAATGTTACACATAAATGTCTAGAAGGGTAAAGCCACTAACATGAAATTGAAGGCACCATGCCTTGTAAGCAGAGAAGAATTTTGCCTAACACTATGAGAAATGGGGACATAAATGTAATTGAATAGGAAAGTCAAGTTCTTTTGGGTGAATCAAAAACAAGAATTGTCCAAATGTACTAGAATCTTGTCAGTTACATTGTCAATTTGGGATGTTCTATCAGTTGAGAGTTAGTAGTCAGAGGATTCAAAGAAAGTAAACAAAAAAACAACATTTGTGATGTAGTTTGATGGAGAGTGAGAGGTTAGTATAGTAATGTTGGGAAGTGCTTGAGAAGGAGGTTAAAAGAGCAGAAACAGAGAAAGAAAAGCAAGAATTAGCTAAAAGAAACAATGAATGGCATGACATAAACTCCCCAAAACCAGGCTGCTAGATATTCATTAGGCATTTAAATTTCAAAAAAGATCATTCATCTTCACATTTCAAAGGGTGATTACACCATATTGAAAGGTATGACAGCACAGCAAAAATTGTTTTGATTGGTAATAATTGGTCTCGTACCTCACAAAGGTATGAAACTTGAATGCCGTGGTTGATGTGATGACCTCATGGATAGATAATTTATAAAGATTTCTCTGAGTATTTTTTAGTAGTAAGGTATGTCCTACATTATGACTTTTCACATCATGAGCCTCACAAATAAAGTAAGATTCATACATTCAAAGGACTTTTCCATTTAACAAGCTAATCTCTCTTTGAACCCATGCTCATAGGATCATAACTCTAAATAATCCTTAAAATTCAACTTTTGAACTTTTTAATTATGAAAAAACAACATATGAAGGAACACAATACTATCATCTAAAACCAACCCAATCATATAATGTGTGTGCGTGAGAGAGAGGGGGCGAGAGAGAGATAGAGATTATTTAATTTATATATATATATATATATATATATATCATACAAATCTTCCTTAAATGTTTTAATAAAGAGGGGAGGGGTAATCTGAACTAATTTCAATAAAGAATAAATTTGAATTTCCAGTTTTCTTATGGTAAACTAATATAACCACAATAAGAATGGAAAATTTTTCCCAAGGGATTCCAAATGAAAATCAATAAATAAAACAAGAACTACAACTATTAAACTCCACAAGTATTGTTTTAATCATCATCATCATCTTCATCATCACTCCACTTTCTCATCTCAAAAATGAAAGCAATGAAAAATAAAATGGCAAGAACAATGCCATAACCAATCTTCCAAGCACTTCCTTCATGACCTAAATGGATCCCATAGAAAATGTTAGCTATTGCAAGAATGATCAAGATCCTTCCTGTGTTGTGATGGTACAAGTTCCAATATTTTCTTGCTTTTGATTCCTTTTTTGGCCTTGCCAGAATAGCCATCATCTGCATCAAATAGTGATAACTCATCAAATTAAATTAGGGTTTTGTTTGATTCCTTTTATTAATTAAATGAATGTTATATATTTTCAATCATCATTAGATTTGATTATTGAATTTCCCCTTGAAATTCATCACTTAGAGATTGAAATTAGATTATATTTATCAACTTTTCACAGTTTAGGAAATAGATTCCTCAGTTTATCAATTAATAAGACAGTTTAGATTGGATTTATATAACCAATTTTCAAGTACTTTAATTTAAATATTTTTAACTTACTTTCTTAATTTCATAAGTAAAAGAGAGGTTTGAATCTTCGTTCTATTTTATTTAAAGAAAAAGAAATTTTAAAAAAACCTAGATCTCAGAACTATCCAAATTCTAACAAAAAAAATAGTCCAAATAAATTCAGGATTATCTTCTTCTTCTTCTTTTGAAATGACTCATTTTGCCAATTCCAAACTGTCCATTTAATTTGAACAATTTATAGTCGTTCTTTCATGGAAAAAGTAAAAAAAAAATCTAAACAAAAATGAACAATTTAGATTAACTGTCAGTTTTTTTTTTTTTTATAATTATAATGGTGATCATTACCTTTCTACCACAACATGAGGGAATCCAAATTTATTAACTACAGATTTGGATTTTTTATAGTGAAAATAGCCTATTATGAGCTAAATCAATTAAAACATTAACTAAATTGATCAATAAATCCTACCTCCTTTCTTGTTTTTAAATCAAATCCAAATTTGGCTCCTAAAGCCAACAATTAAACTTGATGAAAATTTGTCTATAAGAAAATTTATGCAAATTTATACATATATATAAATAACAATGTAATATTGAACTAATCGTTCAAGGATGCCAAAACATGAAATAACAATGTAGAAAAAATTATAAAATATATAATTATTAATTACTTGTTTTAATTATTAATATTTAAAACAATTTTCCTCCTTTTAGCTGTACACCAGTAATAACTAAAAGTATATTGACAGGAATTTTTTTTTTTTGGGTAAATATTGAGAAGAAATTGAAGAGAAGTGTGAATTAAACACCTGAAGGCAAGCCAAGACAAGAATAATGATTCCAAGGGCCTTGTGGATCTGAACATTAGCATGAAGCCGATCATTCAAGATAAGCCCAGAAATGACCCCAATGAAGCCAAGAAGGAAGCCCAATGATTGAACTGAGACATGAAAGTAAAACCAGAGAGGATCCCATTGCTTGAAGTGTCGAGCAATTATGGCTCCCATTATGATCAGTATTCCCCAACCCAGTATGTTCAACAATCCATGTGTTCTTTTTAGGCTCACAATTGAGTTCACTGATGATGATGATGATGCACTTGAACTTGATCCTGTTCAGGTTCAGAAAATCACAATAACATATCTTGAGTCAATCTTGCTTCAATTCAATCTATAATCGATATCCATACAAAATAAAATTTTCTTGCTTGTTGCAATATTATTTATAAATCATAAGTCACTTCTACTATGTTTTGAGTTAGGAAGCTATAAGAATTGAGTTGTTTGAAATCAAAAAATTATAGAAACTGAATTATTTTGATTCAAGGTTCAAAAAATAAATGGATAATTGAAAAAAAAATTCAAAAGCTGGAAGTTATATTATTTTCTTTATTAAACTTTGTGCATGAAAAAAATGTTTAGTTGGAAATAATCAACTAGAGTTATATTTTTACGTTGAATTGTACATTTTTCCCCCTAATTTTCTTTTCCCGTATATTCATATGTCTGTGTGTACATTTTAAATTTGATAATTATTTTCTAAAACTAATATTCAATATCGACGTAAATATATAATTTATAGCAAGTGCTTGTTATTTTCATGCTTTATAGTTTATAAATTTGTAGGCATATAATTTGTAAATTTATAGTCAGTGCAAAATATTTGAAAGGAAACCAGCAAAAGGTAATAGTTTTTCAACTATTAGCTTAAAAATGATTTCAATTAAAGATAAAAATCTAAACTATTTAATTCAATCAAATCTACATGATCGATCTAAGAGAGATGTGCATATTTTGCACATTCCCTACATTATTATATTCCTCAAACTTCAAGATATTTTCATAAAACTGAAAAAGAATCCCATAATTAGATTAGGCGGTCAAATTATTGAAGCTAAAACATAAATAAATTTCAACTGGGGAACAATATGCTGGTAGAATTTTTTAGGGTTGGTGAAAGGTCAATTCAGATCAAACTTTTAACTCAATATGAAGAAGCAACAAATTAACATGATATTCAAGAATGTTCACTCAACAACCTCTAATCTGACTTATAAAGTGGGTCTTGAATTTGATCATGACAGGAAAAAAAAAACCAACTAATTAAAGCTTAATATATAATATATGGGATAATGAAACTTTTAGTACCTTAATTTAATTTTTCTCAATTATCAATTTGATACTTCAAGTTTAATTTTTGTTGATTTAATTCTTTAAGTTTTGTTTAGTTATTGATTTGAGTCTCATTATTTAAATAAGAAGTAACACTGTTAAAATTAGTTGATGTAGATAATGGGATCTTGATAGCATCTATGTAGATTAATAAAAAAAAATGAAATTATTTAGGTTGAGAAAAAACAGACTCAAAATTTAAAAAAATAAAAGAACAAAATACAGCATAAGGAACAAGATTAAAAAAAAATTAAACTGATATTAGAGCTAATTAATTCTCATTTAACTAATATACATGCCAAATCATGAAAATACTTTCATATTAGATTAATCTGAGAGTAAAGTTATTTTTTTAAGACTTAAAAGATTAACATAATAACTTAAAAAAATATAAGAGATAAAATTAATAAAAATTAAATTTTAGAGACTAAATTAATAATTGAAGAAAACTTGAGGGACTACATATTTTATTATCCCTATACAATGGCATGATTCCACATGTAATAGAACCACAAACTTTCCATTACTTTTTTCTTTTGAAAAATAATTAATTAATGGAACAAGTCACCCACTTCTTGTTCGTCAATTTTATATAATTTAACATTTTTAGCAACAAATATGGCATAATAATCTTGCTTGCATCCATTTCCTCCTAATTATGCCCTACACGGTGACGTGCGGATGACATTAACTTTTTTGACACTAATTATGACATTATTAAAGCTTAAGTTCAGCGTTTATATCAATAAACATAACACTCCTTAGCTCTATATTTAAAACTTCCCTGTTCATGATAAATAAGATGGGTTGTTATAAATTTTATATTAAAAAATTAATCATGTCGGTTGTTTATTTTGTTCCATTTTTTATTTTTTAAAAATATTTTATAAATTAATTTTAAAAATTATTTTTAAAACAAAACAAAAAATTGTTTGATTATGTTAATTTAAAAAAATTTAAAATTAAATATCCGCTAATATTAGTGGCCATCAATGGTTAATAAATATAGTGGTTTTAAAAATAAGAAAATAAAAGCATTTTGTGAACATTTTTAAAAACATATAAAAATTTAATTAGCTAGTTCTTATACGTTTTCACTCATTTATGATTTAGTTGCTAAAAAATACATATCTTTAAAAGATTAGGAACAAACAAGTAACTTCAACATTATATATAAGAGTTGAAGTGCATTTTTTTTATTATATTTTTTTTTTGAAGAGCACTGAGTATTTTATACTAATAAGTAAAGCATTTTTTTTTAAACTATTTTTCAGAAAATCAAAAATTCACCTCTATTGGTGATTCATTAACTTAGCCATTTTCTACTAACGTAGTATATTCTTTAATGCTATTTTTTTTTTATGTTTTTTTTTGTGAGTATTGGGCACCTTGAAGTTTTCTTCCTTTAAAGAGTGTTATACATCCTGTAATAATAATTGAAACATTTTTTTTAAATTATTTTTTATAATAACAAATATTTTTTATTGACAAATCACTAATAAAAGGAGTTTTCTCTCCTGAAAAATAGTCTAGAGGTAAAAATAACCCTTATTTTGACTACCTAGACCTCTTGATTAATGTAGGTTTTTTTTATAGGGTTTGAAGAAAAGAAAACAGCAAGCATTGAGTATGTATAGGAAAAGGACGAAGTGGATCCCACACACATATATTTCTACCTTATGCATTACTCTCTCTCTCAAGGAACGCTCCAAAAGCTAACCTGTTGCAGAAGCGTAGTTGAAGGTAATGGAGGCTTTGTCTTGGTGCTGAGCTAGGGCAAAACTTGGCACCGAAGGAAACACCCCAGTCGGTCCGACAGCAAAAATGAGCCGGGACAACGGCTGAGCGGTCTGCAACTGAAAGGCCAAGAAGAGACGAGAGGACTGAGAAGTGATTAGGGTTGAGTTGGCCACAAACTGCAAGTTTCCTGAATCAGGAACAACTTGAGATGGTGTGGTGCCACCAAGATAGTACTGCTTCAATCCACCAGTAGCAGTAATGGATGATGATGATGGGACCCAACCAACAATGGCGCTTGAGCCCACCATGGCTCCATTGGGAGAGAAACCCATGGCTATGTAACTGTTCTTGTCTGGTGCTGACACAATGAAGCTCCATATGTTCGATGAACTCTGAGAATACTGCATAACATTCATGTTTGTGTTTGATTAATGTTAATGTTGATTGATTAGCTAGCAATGATTTTGATTTTGAAGATTACTGATGTGATGTAGATCATGTGATGCATTGCACAAAGCCTGAACAAAATTAAATGAAATGTACTATTCATGGAATTCGTTTGTGTGTGTGTGTGTGTGATGAACACCAATTTAGATTGTTTAGGTTTAATATTAATTTTTTTTAAAAAAAGGAAACATATCAATGAAAACTACTAAAGAAAATTCATATCAATTAAAGGTTAGTTGTTAATTTAGAATTAGTTATTGTTAAAACTCGAATATTCACTTGTTGATAAAAGACTACTTTACTGGTTCTATTTATAAATTACTTTCAACATATTTCACCAGTTTCAAAAAAAACTTTAAAATTTATCAACTTTGTATTAAAATTTAATAAATTCTTAACTTTATCCTTATTAAATATACATACTTTAATAATATATTTTTTTACTCTAACATTCAATGAAAGATAAAATAGGAAATTTGTGATAAAAATTTAATAAAATAACTTATAAATAGAACTAAAAAAATTATTCTTTCTCTGCCTTATAAATAGGACCATTGGGAGTAACTTAAACTAACAAATATATATTCTGGTTTTAATAACAAATATCCTTGATTGATATAAATTTTCCCTAATAGTCCTTGATTGATATTTTCCCTTGAAAAAAATTATTTTGATAGATGTAGAGGAAAAAATAAAGATACTTTATTTTTAATTGGCACTTTGTTTAAAAATGAATTTATCATTTGAAAATTTTCAATTAAAAACTCACTTTTCATGCATGACACATAAATAATGTGATTTGTGTGTAACAGGGGAAAAGCAAAGGTGTAACGACAAATTAAATTGTTGCTACATGAGCTGGTGGTCACGGGTTTAAAAAAAAATTATACAAATAGCTTTTTGCACAAAAAAGGCTAAGCTCCCTTAATAATCAATATAATAATAACCTAAAGTGGGTCCCACTTTTTTCCTAAAATTTCATGTACTCTCTGATTTTTATTTATAAATTATTTTTAACATATTTTATCTGAAAAAATATTAAAAGTCATTATAATTTTTGTTTATAAATTTAATAGTTTTTTAATTTTATTTCTATTAAGTATATATATTTTAATAATATCATTTCTCCCACTAATATTTAATATTGAAAAATTTTATGATAAATTTTTTTTTTTGCTTTATAAATAAGAGCGAAGGAGTAGTATACAAAAAGCTTCCTATGCCAGATTGTGTACTTTTAATAAATACATATAACAATATGAAAGGTATATAGCAGTGAAATAAGTTGAAGAGAATACAAAAATGAGCTTACTCTGAGAATGAAATCTTGAGCATTCCAAACAGGAAAGCAATTGAGATTAGATGTGTCAAATGTGAAAACTGCATTTGAATTCATCAGCTTATTCCCACATGAGTCACTTTGTGGCGTTGATGATGATGATGATGAGCTTCCATTTGCTTGTGATTGTGAATTTCCAATGCTGCCTAAACAATTGCAAGTAATTAATTGTGCATATATATATATATATATGACTTAATTATTAGCCTTAATATATCTATATATTCCTTAATTGATCAATATTAATAATAACAATTAGTGTGTGAATCTGCTTTAGTTTTAGAGAGAAAGCAAGAAAAGTAATTGCAGCAGCAGACACATGCACAAACCAAAATGTGCATTTTAAAGAACAACTACAAATTAATTAAAATATTTTTTTTTTATGTTTGGATGAATATAAGAAAATATAGAAAAAAATTGACTAATTTCACAGTAGCAATAAGATCATAACATGTTTCTTTTCCCTTTTTTGGGTCAATTTTATTTTTTTAAAAATGTTTTCTCTTCAAAAAAATTTCACTCTTGTTGAGAAAACTTTGGGGGGTGGGATACTCATATCCAATTTTTTTCCTTCTTATTTTCTTTTGCCATCAGAATGATGAAGAAACTATTTTCTCTCGTATTTTTTTTCTTATTTTTTCTTTCATATATTTTTTCTCCTAGGGTTAGGATTCAAAAGCCTTGCCCTATATATATAGTAATTAATTATAAACACTCCGATAGGAATATTTCTGCAATTTTTTTATAGTAATGAATGGTTGCAAACTTAATTAATTATAATGTAAAAGAGGGAAATAATTAAACTAGTTTCTATCTCACATTTTTCTCTTTTCTTTACATGCGTGCTTTAACAAATGAGATTCAAGCGATCATAGCAACAATTTTTTTTTTAATTAAATTGAGAGGAGCACGATATTGTCCAACTTTTAGCCTACACACACATATGTACACACCTTGGAAGGTGGACCTAAAAGCAAAAAGTTTCATGAACCAAATAATTTCATCTTTTTTTGTACAAAAAAAAAATTTCATCTTTTTCATGGTCCTACATTGGCTCCCTTGTTTTATGGTCGCTGGATATTTTACGTGAAATCTAAGAAATAAACAAGACTAATATTGTTTGATGCATTTTTTTTTTACGCTAGCTTACCTATCACAAGAAAAATAAAAAGATTATCATTAAAATTAATAATTATAACCAGCAAGTATATAAAATCAACATAGCTATCTTGTAAATGACCTTATGCGTGTTCAATCCAACACGTTATCCCATTTAATGCCAAAACAAAATTGACATCTTATGAAAAAAAAAAAAGCAAATTGTATATATATTCTCAAACTTCTTTTGAAGAAAGAAGAAGACTTTAGATAGTTTACGTCATGAGTGACTAATCTAAAATGATTATATATTTTATATTTTTTAGAAGTCAATCTAAGTTAATTTAAAAATATAAGTTATATAAATTGTGCAATATATATATTTATTTATTTTCTTCATGCATGATAAAATACTTTACCGACTCCATAGGGATGCCGCCCAACCTCTAAATTTGTGTAGGTGAATGAATCAAAATGTGAATGTGTCACAATTCAACCACAACTACAACCATAATGATCTACAATGATGTGTACTTTGACCCCCAACCACTAATATTTTGTCCACACATTGATAAAATATAATTATGCAAAGTAAGAAACAAAGTATGAAATTTCCTATTAATTCCTTATTTCATTGCTCATCACCAATCGTTATTTATTTATTTATTTCTTCTCCTATTTGCTGTTAATGCTAAAAACTCATTGTTATATTGGATTTTCATTCCTTACATGTAAACATTTCATAGCTTATGAATAATACAATTTTTTTATAATTTTTTTTAGAATTTATTATAAATTTTCATATTTTATATTGAGACTTTTTGAATTATTGAATGTCAACTTGAAAAGACACCTCAACTGTAGAAGATTTCTTACCCGATGCAAAATTTTCAAACAATCATTAAATATATAATTTAATAATTTTTGCTTTATTCTTCATATAAAAATAATTCAAAATTTGAATGAAATATAGAAATATTATGGGGAGAGAGAAATAACCACAATTCAATAATAAAATCATTAATTTAAAAAATTTCCATACAGACATAATATATGAATCAATTACAAAAGTTAACCTGAGATTCTAATTCACCATCATAGATTCTAATTTTCATATTTTATATTGATATTGATTCTTAAAAATAAATTTACTTTTTGAACTATTAAATGTCAACTTGAAAAGATATCTCAAATGTAGAAGATTTCTTACTTGATGCAAATTTTTCAAAAGATTATTAAATATATAATTCAATAATTTTTATTTTATTTTTCATATATAAATAATTCAAAATTTGAATGAAAGATAGAAATATTATGGTGGGAGAGAAAAAATCACAATTCAATAATAAACTCATTAATTTTAAAAATTGCTATGTAGACATAATATATGAATCAATTGTAAAAGTTAACCTTGGATTCTAATTCACTATCATAGATTGTTAATTTGATTATGTAACTTTTGAACATAAAAATGAGTCTTTTTCGGTAACACACACCAACCTGATGTGTAGTCAATTCTGATAGAGACCTTATCAAGGTGCTTCACAAGTTGATAACCTGGGGCTGAAGGAAACAACCCGGTGGGTCCGGTGGCGAACAAAAGCCACGACGGCAGCGCCGACGAAGTGGTGGTGGCCAACTGAAACACCATGTACACACGACCTGACTCCATTGTTATGAAGCTTGAGTTTACTATCACTTGCAAGTTTCCTTTATCTGGTACCACCTTGTCTGGTGTTAGGCCACCCAGATAGTACTGCTTTATTCCTCCACTGCTTCCCCTCGCCGCCACCCACCCCACCATCGCGCTCGAGCCGGCCATCCCGCCGGTGGCCGAGAAGCCCATTGCTATGTAGGAGTTTGTGTCTGGGGTTGAGAGGATGAAGCTCCATAAGTTTGAAGATGTCTGAACATACTGTACAACGACAGATGAATCTGTTGTTAATTTGTTTGTTATATACAGAAATAGAATATTGAAATTAAAAATAGACTTCTAAGCTGAGTTTTTTGCCCTTTTCATAATTAAAAATAGCAATTTTGATGCTGAAAAATGATTTTAATACAATTTTCATAAAAAAATATGAATTGTATATTGATAATAAATTACTAATTATGAAAAATAACAAAAACATTGCATAAAAATAAAAATAAAATATATTTATTTATCAAACTAGAAATGACATTTTTACTATTTTTTTCAATGAACGTTGCAATTTTGATGCTGAAAAATGATTTTAATACCATAATCTTTAAAAAATAATATAAATTATTGATAATAAATTAATAATTATAAAGAAATAATCAACATTGCATAAAAACAAAATATCTTTATTTATCAAATTAGAAATGATAATACTACTAATTTTTTCCAAGTATCTCTCTAAGAGTACAAGGTTTTCAAGTTCTGGTTTCACTAATATTACTGCAAAAGTTGAAATCCCTCATGTGAAAGCTAGAGAAGATCTAGAGAAAGAGGAAATAACTCTTCTGTGTCTATACCTCTTTCTTCTTCTTCTTCTTCTTCTTCACATGAGAGACAAACTCAAATCCATATCAGTAACTTACAAATTTACAATGCAACTCAGAACCAAATAGCTGTTAGAAGAGAGATGAAAGAGAAGAAGAAGATCAGAAAAAGAAGAAGAAGAACTTACTCTGAGAATGAAACCTTGAGAATCCCACACAGAGAGACAACGGAGGTTGGAAGTATCAAAAGGGATAGGAACTAGGAGGTTGAGATTCCAAGTGCATGAGTCTGTTTGTGAACTTACATAACAATGGAGTGTGAAGAAGAAGATAAGGAATATTTGCAGAGATAATAATGTCTTCAGTTCATGATCTCTCTCCATTAGTGTCTGTGTTTGGGAATGAGATAACAGGTTTCAGATTTAATTTGGATACGGTTATTAGGAAGCCAAACTGGTCTTATTGGTGATGTCAAAAAAAAAAAAAAAAGATAAAAGGGGAAGCAAATAGGGAATGATTGCCATTTTTTAACTAACCATGGTGTGGGGGCTTTTTCCAATTATGACCTATTTAGACCAACAAATATATTAATATAATTGTTTTAGAATATTTAAATTTCACAAATCAATCTTTATCATATTTTTTTAATGAATATTGTGTTTGTTGTTAATTATGGAGTAGTTATCTATTATTAAATATTGTAAATTATCATGACTATCACTTTTTTGGGAACAAATATCACTTTATTTAAACTCATATAATAATAATATGCAGAGAATGTGCTTGTAATGAAGAGGTTTTTGATAGCAATAGAATGTAATGATAGTCTTAAAATCTATCCATTCACTTTCAATTATTTGACCTAAGGTTGGACTTCAGAGTTCATAGATTGAAATTGAATGATTGATAATGGGCCAGTATTAATTTATACCTCATCCCTTGATTCTTTGAATTAATTTCATCACATATTTTCTTAAAACTTAATCTTTGATCCATGATTAACATTGTCATAAACATTAACAGGAAGTCAATAATTCTTTTATATAATTATCAGATATTTAATATTGTTAGGTTTAGATTAGATTCAAGCATTGTTAAATCTAATTGATATAATTCTCTCAACATAAGGAATTCAATAATTTTGATATATCTTATGTCAATAGTTAGCTATCCCAATAATAATACCACTTTTCTTGTTTGAAAGAAATTCCAAATTTAAAACTAGTGTTGACATATTTGTAAACACGTGTTGGTGTGAGTCTTTTTTTCTCATGAGAAAAAGCTAGGGTAGGAGTAATCTTTTTATTTTAAAATAATTTTGATCCTACATATTCACATTTAGGCGGTATATATTACCATATCAGGTTCCTTCACTGATCATAATAGATCAGCAATTAAATTATCAAACTTTTACTTAACAACTTAATCTTAAATTTAAGCAAACATGATTTATGAAACTAATTAATAATTAAACTCATTCAATCCAAAATACTTCAATTTTTACAAAAAGGGTACAACATATAACAAAAATCTAATGACAAGAAACATAACATAAAATAATCATGAATCCTTACGAATTATATAACATGTTACACCGTAATCAGTTGATCTTCATCTATATCCGTGATAGGCTACATAAAATAAAATTACATTGCATTGCAACTATTACATATGCAGCAAATGAAATTCATGTAACAATAAGGTAAAATCATGCCTAAAGGCTTGAACTTGACAAAAATTACATTAGACTATCTAAAATAATTATAACAACCCCCAAAGATCAAAGGTTACAGTTAATTTTTAGAGGCTTAATATAAAGTTTTAATAAAGTCACCATCAAGATTTAGGGAAATCAGAAATCCAAGTAATTAATGATAATTTCCCTAAAATTTTGTAGCAGTTTCGTAAAACAAGATAATAACTTTTGATCATTGAGGGCAATTAGTAATTAATTACAACTTGATGATTTTTAACATAATTTTTGTCAAGTGCTAAATGTAATTTTCTTCAAAGAATAATCCCAAATAATCATGCATGAATCCCATTTCAACGCAGGATTCACATGGAGCACAACACAGTACTCAAGGCCATGCCCATACCTACTCTTCAATTCACAAGTCAAGTTTAGCTTGCATATGCTTTATTCTTGTCCCTCCAAATTATAACACATAGGACAGCATCTCACCAACTGATGAGTTAATGTTTTAAGTTACAGACAGAATCAATCATCCCAGCAGAACCCTACAGAGCTTCATTATCAGGAAACCAACCTTGATGTCCACCCCTCTCTACAGACACAGATGATAATAATGATATAAATTTGCAGTGAAGAAATATTCCAATACAATGCAACTAGACAATGATGGGTTATATTCACATAAAAAGGAATCTATCCATTATCTCATCAAAACCTTATCCAAAACCCCACGAAGTTCCATGACATTGATTAAGTGGAAAATTAATCATTGGCAGTTAAATTTATACAACCATAAATAGTAGCAGAGTACCACCTAAGCTGTAAATTAAATCCTCCATACTCGGACATTCAAGAGAGAGATATGAAAGATGAGAAGTTACAAACGTAAATGCTAGACGTTTTTTGGCTTAATGAAGATGTAAATGAAAAACAATGCTTCTGCTTCTGTAACTCTCATGTGTCTGTTTCAGTCCGTTTCACATCCTCTTACTAATTTTTAACCACAAGATTAACATTTGGACAGTTTAGATTTGATCTCATAAAAAATATTTCATTTCATTTTATTTTTACTGTATTTTTTAACTGTTGATATTAATTTTTAGCAGTTTGAATTTTATTATTTATCTTTTTTATAAGTTTTAAAAAAATCAAATCTGAATTATCCAAATCTTGACCTAATGATTAGAAAAAGAAAAGGAGGGAAGAGGACGGGAAAGGAATAGGAGTATCCTATTCCCGGATTGCCTGAACTCCAACACAAGTCAACGTGGCACCATTTTTAACAGGATAAAGCACCTTTGCAACCTCTACAATACATCATACTAATTCTTTGATTTGATCTACTCCCACAATCTGATTCCAAGCATTTCATGGACCAACTGTAGTAAAAAATTTTGATAGTTTAATGATATGCATTTAGTCACTCATCTGAACCTTCAATTAGAGGTAGCGATATGCATTTCCCATGGCAAGTTGATACAGCTACACCTATGAGGTCTCGTCCCTTAATCAATGCAAGTACCAAATTAATCTTAAATAAATAATATGAGATGATTGGTAAAAACAATGTCTACATTATGAAATATATACGCAGTGCTTTCTCCACCTTCCATGGCAATCGCTTATTATATTTGAGTGCAAGTGACGGCCTGTTAATATCGTGACTAGCAGTAGCACCATAAACATTAACTATCCATGATATATTATACTACTTCGTTGCACAAAATGAATTTAATGTTCAACAAAGTGATGATATGATGATTCACTTGCTCCCAAATTCTAATATGCAAATCAGAGTATCAAACAAAAAAGCAAAACAGTTTTGTAAAATGTGGATTTGGGCAAAAAATTAAGTATGAGTAGGGCATAATATATACATATTAGTTTTTTAAACTTCAGTGGCTATAACCTTTCAAGTATGTTATGGGTCATAGAAGAATACACATGAGGGAAAAAAAAACGGGGTGCATTTTCATAGAAATCTATACATAGTTCATGTCTGACTCTGAAACCACGGCATATAGTGCTGGTAATGAACAAAAAAACAAATGAAGTTCTAAAAAGATGAGATCCATCAAAAAATTAGTTGAGACTGAAACTTTATAAACATAAAAGATTTTTTAAAACTTCTATCCACTGGAGGGCTCCATCAGTTACACCAAGAAGAAAAACCAGCATGAACGCAGCTAATGCTATATTAACCAGCACAGGTAGACGAAAAATAGTCTCTCCTGCAATCTCATTTGATTCAAAAGAAATGATATGAAAAGACAAGGAAAAAAAAATGGTTTGGACAATGAAAATGAAAAGCATGATTTCTTTTTAATATAGAAACACGCAAATTCAAGAGAGCTGATACGGTCTAAAATTATGGATCGAATCTGTCACAGTAAATACAAAACCATTTTATATGAACTGAATTGATGCAAATACTATATCAGACCGATGAATAAACACTTGATCATTTGTGTCGAACATATTGGATACAACGACACACTAGACATGAAGTACAGAAGGTTAATCTAAGTTTGATCAATGAGAACTAGACTGACAGAAACACAGATTTGTAGTTATGTGCGATATAATTCTGGCAATACAATCGTACCATCCAAAACATTACAATCTGAATGTACATTACTTCTTCAGCTTATTATTAACAAGATATCAAGCATGCTTTACCATCTTGCAAACAGACAAATAAAAGATCCTCGCTACAATCGGTAATTTGGCCAAGGGTCAATGGTTCAAATTAGGGTTAAACCTGGAAGGATAGACATAAATGAATTATTTATGTTTTTTAATTTATAGTTCGTTTGGATTAGGAAAAGGTTATTTTCAATTGAGTTTTCTGAATTAAGATTATTCAACAAAAACTATCTATCAAATCTACATTTAGAAGGTTTATACTTACTTAAAGACAATGATAAGCACATTCTTTTCAGACCAAACATTAGATATACCATAATGCCCAATGGAAGGAAGGAATATCTGGGCTCTTCACAAAGTGGGGAGGATTGAATCCCCCTCACTGGCTTATGTAATATGAGAGTCTTGCTTAGAGTAGTCTCTATTCTGTAGGCCCTTAGCGGCTTCAGATCCACAGTCAACCAGGTTCCCATAAACTGGCCATTTTCAGGAGGACTTTTTTTTAAAAAAAAAAAAAATATTATATATGTTTAACTCGGACAGACTAGAGACCATTGCTATTTGATATGAAATCAACCCAGCCATACATACAGTTAAGCTCCTTGCAACTAGTGATATAAAATGGATACAGTAATAGACTTACCAGATGACACATGCTCTGGCAGGCTGACATATTTGGGACACAATGATTTTGAAGTAACCATGTCAATTTTATTGTCAGATGCAACTACACAATCTCGTGGCTGTAACAAGATAAACGAGACTCTCAAATAATAGAAATGACCAAAATAGCGTAATACTAGGACAATGAACAATCACAGAATCAAGAATAAAGATCTACATCAGTACCAAGCAACCTTGTGCAGTTTTCAGAGTAATTCTAAAAGCTTTGAAGCACATACCAGAAGAATGAGGCCACAAAGTTTAATTTTATGAAAACAAAACGAAAATGAAAAGCCTGCCCTGCTTGTAAGAAAACAGTTTTAAACAGCTAAATATTAATAATATAAGCCTCACTTTTTATCAGAGCTTCCAGACTTCCTCACTGCAGTTAATCATGGATCTTAAACATTATTTCATTTTTCATTGAGACAAGGTCAATAACAACACTATTAGCTAAATACACTAGACACCACAGATTGAACATACAGGACAGGCTCTACAACACCATGTCAACTAATTTCGAATCGTCTAACTCCCAACAATAAATAAGACAATTGCTAAACAACTTCATGTCTCTATATGCCAAATTATTACAGAGCAAAGTTGCAACCTTGAAGTCTTTATAGAAGCATAGACGGATTTCCTGCAGTGCACCATGTGAGCAAACTACTTGAGGAGATGTATGGAAGGCATTCTCAATGGCAGAGGTAATGCCTCCAAGGGGATATTTTTCTCTATTAGAAGGAACAAATCCAGCTTCATTTAGAACTCTCTGAGAAAAGAAAACGGAAAAGAATGATGGTCAGACTAACTCATGAATACACACACAAGCTGCAAGCCTTCACATTTTTATAACTACAGGTTTGAAAATACAATTAAGAGTGGATCCAAAAGCAAACAAGCTCCAAAGTAAAGCATGGACAAGGTTAGTTCAAAATACAAGAACATGTACAGATTTAGCCAGGAAATTATATAAATTTAATTCCTCTTGAAATCATTTCTGAACATGAACACCTAGTTTCCATTCTCATCACTTCTTACATCTCACTTTCCGAATGATATGTCTCTGAATGACCTTATTGAACATTATTAAGTAAAAATCAAACAGTTTGTTACAACATATATTTCTAGGCTGGGTGGGCGTGTACAAGTGTGTGACTACTGACAACTCGTCATTCTGTAATGAGAATAAGAAGTGTGTAGATGAAGAAGCTAGGCTGAATCTAAATACTGGGAACGTATTAGCATCTTCTATAGCCAGTGAGTTATCTTTTTCTATAATTCCCTTGTAAAGGCAATTGTGACATACTGGGAGTACATATTCTGTGCTTGCTGTTTTCAATTCCATAAGAAATCTATATCTCTGCTCTATTGACATGTGAGATAGGAGGAATATTTCAGTAAACTTCTTGAGCACTGGTCTGGTGCCCATCGAAATATATATGATCCTCAAAGCAATCCATCTTACAAAACTAAATTCGAAAATGACTACATGATCCATTGTCCGCCAAAACCAAGAAATGAAAACGGATCCTCATAGTACTTGCAACAGAAGAATGTAGAACATGGATCAATAGAAGTTTGGTTGCCAAACACACCGTTACAAATGAGTAAATACACACCATTTGAGATAAAAACCAAACGTTTTACTCTCCCTGAATTATCTATAGAAGATTGAATAACAGTTGGTCGCAAATAAAGATTTCCAGTTCCTTAAAACCAAACTCTCAAATGATCCAAACATCTATGAACTTTCCTTCATATCCAACCACTCATGGTTAACAGAAATTGGCAGCAAATAAATATAACTTCTACACACCAAGCAAAATAAAGAAACAGCCCCTTCCAAAAGCACCACCTTGCCAAAATAGGGTAAGCTTATTGCCTGCTGAAACAAGAAAGAAACTCAGAGATAAATCAACTCTGTTTCTATGAACTTACAGTCACATTATATTTGAAATAGACATTCAGTGTTGTCAAGAAATAATTGTATTCATCTCGAAACACAGGAAATGAGCATGTGCCATGCTTCTCTGCAAGTAGAATAAAAAAAAAATCAGAATACTACAATGTTAACAAAAACATCCAACATATACATCACAGAAGGTTCTGCGACTTATTCAACTCAATTATTGCAGTTCAAGCATAACCTATACTGAAATCATAACTAGTTAAATCATGTAAGAGCAAAAATTATAAAGATCATTACCCCACTGCCAATGTGTGCAAACGTGATAGCCCCAGAAACAAAAAGATGAAAAATCATTAGTTTCATAGTAATCTAGATGATAAATTAAAACTAAGCAATTTCCAATGAGTACCTCATGAGCCCAAAATGTCCCTTTCGTACCATGACACGTTGATGGTGAACCACAACTTAATGATGGCCAATATTTATCTAAAGCATTAGTCAATGTTGATATCTACAACGTCAATGGAGCAATAACACTTAGATGAGGTGAAAATGAAAAAGTTGATGCTTAAAAGTGAACAGTTCAAGTTCCAAACGTATAATAGCTACGGTAACTCAAGCATCATTTGAAATAAGAGAACCAAAAATAAAAAAAATCTCCGTTCTCCACGTATAACTATCCCGTAAAAACAACAAATAGACATGTTGGTAGAATTACAGGTTCATTGAATTTATCAGTCGCTAATTTTTTTATAATAATTAGGGTTAAGGTACAATTTTACTCTTAAACCTTTTCTCAAGGGGCAATTTACCCCTATAAAGGCAATTTTACCTCCGGACTATTTTTTTTTTTTTTTAGTAGCAAAAAAACCCCTCTACAAGGTGCCTAACGCTCCTCGAAAAAATAGTTCAAGGGTAAGGTTGCTCCACTTATCAGTACAGGGGTAAAAGTGCTCATCGAGAAAAAAAGTTTAAGGATAAAAATGCTCCTTAACTCTAAAAATTTATTAATACAGATTAACTGATGTGGTCAAAAGTGAGGAACAAATTATATGAGCAAATGAGTTACAAAGTAAGGTTATGGGAAAACTGCATGACAGAGGCAGCTGTAAGATATGAAAGGCATAAGTTTCAAGATCCCAAGATTGACGCTAATTCTCCATAATTTCATTAACCTCGGGACACCATCCATGTCAAAACCCTCGTCACTTCTTTAATGTGTTTGCCCAAGAATGTATAATCCCATAAACCCCAACATCTGTGGGTAGCCAACTAGCGTTACACCTTGAACACCACTAAACAACAAAATAATTGCTAAAGTACTGCAATTCTGCAGTGGTACCTCTTTTGGATCAAAATAAGATCGGGAGCAACAGGATGGCCAAGTTCCATCATTGTAATCGGGCCAGAGTCCATCTATCATACAAGTAGTTAAGATGAGTTAACTAATATATTTCGCACAGACGACAGCAATAAGTTTGCAGCCTCATACTCACGAATGGTAAATTCTGTTGGAGCATTTGAGCTGAAAAAATAGAGGGGGAAAGGGCAAAAAATGCAACCCTGTCAGTGTGGTTAAAGTTAGACGCAAGGAAGCAAGGACAAGGAAAAAGAAATCCACAAGATTGAAAAGTAGTGATCAGCCGACCTGCAAACTGGCTAACTTAATCTATATATACCTTCACTTGGGTTAAACACATTTACCCAACAAGATGGATGACAAACTTGGTTAAACCAACAATGAAAGCCTCCCAAAAACAAATATGCTAGTAAAGAATTCCCAGTGTTTAATTTATGATAAAACAATATCCATGATCTCCAAATCCAACAAGCCCCAATATTCAGGTTCAGGCCTCTCGCAATAGCTCATTAGCCAGTATAACATGTAAGAACCATATACAGAATTTTTCAAGGGGAAAGAGTGACAAAATTGAAAAAGGTTTTAATTTTACTTTACCCTCTGCAACAAGCATTGAAGGAGCAACAATGGCGGGTGCGCCGGCAATAGGTGCCAGGCCATTGCAGCGCCAAGGCAAAGTAATCAAACTCTCGTTGACCTTCTTGGATGCTTCCGTTCACCTGCTCAATCGCACATATTGAATCCACAATGGCTGCGAGCAATAGCCATGGAAGAATAACAACGCGGGTTTGAGCAGAGAACGAAGCCATTGGTTGTGAGAGAGGCTTCAAAATCTGAAGGTCGTTGCAGCCGTCGCTATAAATAATACAGTTAGGCACGGTGCGTGTTCGTCTATGAAAGATCAAGCTAGACGGATCTTTTGGTATGGGTCACACCATTGAATAACAAATTAATAATTGGACCAGATCTCGCGCTTCCGAGCACATTCCTGATTAATGGAATCACAGAATCCATCTCCTACAGCGAAAATAAAAGTTGAACCGTAACTCTGGAAAATAAAAAATAACTGTGAACAACAAAAAGAATAGCATCAATATAAACATATGGGATTGATTAAATGATAAACTATATTTAGGAGAGTATAAGATTAAATTCTTTCTTATGCAGTATTTTCTTCAACAAAGATTAAACTCTTTTTCAACAAGGAAAATTACGTAAGTTCTCATGGAGAAGATTTATTTATAAATAAGTCTCACAAAATTTAAAAAATACAGTCAACTCTCTTGTGATTTAAGTGTCATTTAAAATTAGAGTGCAAAAATAGTATTACCCTTACTTGTAATGCATGATTAGAGTTTAATTATTGAATATGTCAAGTTATAGTTATAAAAAATTAAAGTGATGGTTGTAATTAAATTACTAATGAGATAGATGTAAACAATTATAGTATTAAACTTTGTTAGTAACGTATGATTAATTTAACTATTAAATATATCAAGTTACAATTGTAAAATATTAAAGTGATGATTATAAATTATTGATGAAGTAGTTATAAATAATTAGTGTTAAACTTTGTTGGTAACACATAATTAGTTTAACTAATAGATATGTGAAATTATATACAGTTGTAAAATGTTGAAGTAATAGTTGTAAATTACTAATGAGGTAGTTGTATATAATTAGTATTAAACTTGTAACACATTATCAATGTAACTATTGAATATATGAAGTAACAATTATAAAATGTTGATGCAATAGTTATAAATTAATGATAAAGTAGTTATAAATTACTTAATTGATGTAATGTCTTTTTAATAAGGGCATTATTGTCTTTGCACCTCAATTTTAAATTATGCTCAAGTCTCAAGGGACATGGCTATGGTTTTTAAATTTTATGAGCTTATTTATAAATAAGTCTACTTCACCGGACCTATAAAAACATCATCTTCTTGGATAATAAGAGGATTTGAACTTGAAACTTGTAGATAGACAAGTATAACTTCCACTAAGCCAACAAGTCACCTTATTTCATGTAACCCAAAATTTACATAAACAAACTCAAAAACAATTACTAACTTTAATATTATTATTATTTTCAGGGTCATTACAGTTTGAGAGAGAGACACAAAGAGAGAGAGAGAGAGAGAGAGTATATGATGTCAAATAACCATTGGTATACCTTTGATATGTCGTTGATTTTGGTGAGCAAAGATTAACAGACAATGATGAAGATTTAATAAAGTAATTGTCATGAGTCTTATATTAAGGATTCTTACAAGTGAAGTGAGATTTATAAATATAAAGACATCTCTTATCTAGTAGGCTAGTCTTTTATATTGAGTTATCCTTTTGAGAGAGAGTATATGATGTCAAATAACCATTAGTATACCTTCGATATGTTGTTGATTTTGGTGAGCAAAGATTAGCAGGTAATGATGAAGATTTAATAAAGTACTTGTCATGAGTCCTATATTAAGGATTCTTACAAGTGGAGTGAAATTTATAAATATAAAGACATCTCTTATCTAGTAGGCTAGTCTTTTATAATGAGTTCTCCTTTTGAACTTGTGCTCAAATGACAGTATTTATTGTCTTCATCCTCAACTCCAACATAAACTTTATTAGGCTTCACGATCTTAGCATACGTTGTCACGAACAACAAAATATTCCAATCCATGTGATCCTCTGTCCATTCACCAAGTTTAATGAATATTAGGTTTTCATGAGGTGGAGACTAAAATATGTAGTTCACAAAAAATGACCATATAATGTGGAATAGATAATATAGCTACAAGAATTTATATCAAACATGAATGACCAGTTAAGTGTAAAATTTATTTAAGTTCTATCTTTCTTGGGCCTTTATAAATTGATTTAGCCTTCAAGCTGTGTTTCATGACAAATGACATGTAGTTCCACAGCTACTCCATTAAGATTGGTCCTAGCTATTATAAGTTATACTAACATGTATCCCAATAAAAGTAAATGCATATATATAGTGTTCTTGTGGCAAAACCTAGGCTTGTAAAACAAATAGTGTTCTTGTGGCAATTGCATGAGATGAAGTAACAAATACTCCTATTTAGAGCTCAAAAATTCTTACCTATGGATTAATAAGATATGCATTAATGGTAGGTGTCGGAGCTTGAATGACTTGACTGATATTGTCCTTTCACTTATTGTTTCATTTCTTCTAATGAAAGATGCTATGTGAACAAGCATGTTGTCCAAAACATGGGAAAGAGCACTTTCTCTTGGAGGATCATTATCTAAAATCAAGTTTTCTCTCATAGGCCCTATGGATACTTGACAAGGGTCCAAGTTAGCATAACAGACCCATAATCACTGATTATGAGGGATTTACCTGATTTAAATTAATTCCTTGTGGTTATTTTAATTAATTATTGTTTTGTTTTACTATTAGTAATTGTTGGTAGCTGAATAAGAGGACTTTCACTTCATTAGTAGGGCACCAACATGCTAGTAAGTTATTTCCTAATTTTAGGCTAATTATCTGCATTATTTGATTTATTTAATTGTAATTTCCGGTTATAAATATCCTGGCTGGTATGACAATGGGATATCACAAATTAATAAACCTTGTCTTTCCCTTGGAGATTCTCCTATTTGGTTATTAAGTTCAGTAAAGTGAGATTCTTGCTCTATTTAATTTAATAGGTTCCTCATTTTCTTTCATATTTGTCTTGAGCCCCTACCAAATTGGTATCTGAGCCTTGTTCGATCATTATGGTGACCCAACACTCTAAAAACGAAACTGGCCATGCCAACTCCTCTAACAACCCATCCCAAGGTCAGAATACCAAAAATCTATTTGCATCAGACCATTTAATCCGCATTACAACCAAACTTGAAACACTTGACTTATTAAAAGAGAAGGTTAAAGCACTTGAGTTATTTACTAGCAAAGGAAAAAGACCATGGGAAGCTATCATAGATGCTCACACTAGGACGAAGATAGTGATGAAGAGTTAGACTATATAAGGGGTCCATGTCCACCACACACCAAAATTGAATTCCCAAAATTTAGTAGAGGTGACTCACGTGGTTGGATTCTGAAGGCTGAAAAAATATTTCAAGTATTATCAAACATCAAAAGATTTGAAGGTTGATATGGCTTCCATGTATTTAGAAGGGGATGCTTTGGATTTATTCTCATGGATAAATTCAAAACATACCTTGATCTATTGGGATGAGTTAGTTAAAGCACTGCAGAACACTATGGCCCTCCAGAGTATAATATCCTGAAAAACACCTAGCCACCATCAAGCAGACCGGATCAATGCAAGAGTATTGCTAGGAATTTGCTAAATGAGTTGTACAAGTTCATAACTGGCCAGAACACTGTCTATTAGGCGTTTTTCTTGGAGGACTCAAAGATGACTTGAAATCTGATGTGTGTATTCATAAGCTTCGCACAGTGTATAAAGCTACTAGTTTAGCACTAGAATATGAGAAAAAGTTACAGCTACATCGTGGGCCCAAGCCCAGCTCTTACTTGACTGAAACTTGGTCCACTAATAGCTCTAATCAATCGGGTACTATCACAGCCTTCTCACCCAACACATTATGAAACTCTCCCGCGTCTTTCTCGAATACGTGACCGGCGAACACCATCCAACCACGATCTCTGCTCTTGGACATCGAACAGCAGCATCGTAGGGATAAGGGGCTTTGTTACCATTGTGGGGAGGTCTTTCGGCCTGAGCATTGCTATAAATCCTCATCTTTCTCACTCATGGAGATCGATGAGGATGGGCAACCTATATCAAAAAATTTTGTTACTGTTGCAGAGGAAGAAGACGAGATTACGAAAAGTGTAGAAATCTCTTTTAATGCTATTTTAGGTAATATTTCGGCAGCAACAATAAAATTAAGAGGTCAGGTGCTTAATTGCAATGTGTTGCTCCATGTTGATAGTGGGTCGACCCACAACTTCATCTCTGACTCATTGGTGCAAGAGCTAAACTTGCCCACTTGTTCTATTTCTACTTTCAGTGTGCAGATTGGAGATGGCAGTATAATTCGAGGAAATTGTGTATGCAAAGAAGCGAATGTGAAGCTACCTGGTTTGACCATTAAACAAGATTTTTATCCTTTTCTCTTACGGGAACAGATTTGGTATTGGGAATCAAATGGCTAGCTTCTTTAAATACCATACAAGCCAACTAGAATGAGATGTTTTTAATTTTTTAGGTTGATGGAAAACGGTATAAACTTCAAAGAGTACCTCAAGCCTCAAACCAGAAGGCCAGCTTACATTCCATGTTCTCTTCTGAGCTCACATTAAGATCTCCCAGTATCAAGTCATTAGATGTGAATGAGCTCCTGGTCAAATTTAATGGATTGTTTAAGGAACCAACCTCTCTGCCACCTTTTAGAGATCATTATCATGCCATTCATCTTCTACAGGGGGCTCAACCTCCTAACCTACACCCTTATCGCTGTCTTTACTTCCAGAAGATTGAAATCGAGAAACTGGTGGATGAATTATTACGGAAAGGTTTCATACAGCCAAGTTCAAGCCTTTTTGCAAGTCCGATTTTACTAGTAAAGAAAAAGGATGAGTCCTGGAGGTTTTGTGTGGATTATAAGGCCTTGAACCAGATTATGGTCCCAAAGAAATACCCAATTCCTAATATTGATGAGCTTCTAGATGAATTACATGGAGCTATTTATTTTTTCAAGATTAACCTCCACTCTGGTTACCACCAAATACAGATCTTTCCAGTAGATATTCATAAAACAACATTTTGAACTCACAGTGGACAATATGAATTTGTTGTAAAGTCGTTTGGATTGACCAAAACACCAGCCACTTTTCAAGCAGCCATAAATGATCTTTTCCATCCTTATCTTCAAAAATTTGTATTGGTTTTTTTTTGATGATATCCTAATTTACAGTCCTACTCTAAACCTATATAAAGATCATCTTCGATTGGTATTT